CATCATCATTTAAAAATTAAACCAATGTCACATATATCTGGTGAGTTCATCATCATTTAAAAGTGAAACTAATGTCACATATATCTGGTGAGTTCATCATCATTTAAAAATGAAACTAATGCATCTGGAGAGTACAAGCCTTTTATGTGGTACCTTTTCAAATGCTCTCTGTAAATCCAGATACACCAAACATATTTAATGCATGTTTTTTCATAATATGCTAATTTTTACATGTTTAAAATCTTATGATGTCCAAACATTCTTGGTAAGTTACTGAAAATACACATAAGTACATACCTTGTGCTGTAAGGTTAGTGAAAATACACAAAAATATATACATTGTGCTCTAAGGTTAGTGAAAATACACATAAGTATATACATTGTGCTCTAAGGTTAGTGAAAATACACATAAGTATATACATTGTGCTGTAAGGTTAGTGAAAATACACAAAAATATTCACATTGTGCTGTAAGGTTAGTGAAAATACACAAGTATATACATTGTGCTCTAAGGTTAGTGAAAATACACAAGTATATACATTGTGCTCTAAGGTTAGTGAAAATACACATAAGTATATACATTGTGCTCTAAGGTTAGTGAAAATATATACATTGTGCTGTAAGATTAGCGAAAATACACATATACATAGTGTTATAAACTTTTGGCATCATTCACATGAAAGTTTACATATCTCTGTATTTTACCATTGTTAATTGTTATACAGTTAAAATGCATCACTATTCGCAATGTTCAAAATTTCCGTTTACACTATGTTGACTGGCTTGTATTTGAAAATTTTTCGTTTATTTTAGAACACCACTGTAGCTTTTATGTTTATAATGGATAAGTTAGTTGGAGTGTATATGGATGCTTTTAAATGTATACAGCATTGTTCTTCCAGAATCGATGTGCACTCTTTGTTTATTGTTCACCATAGAATTAGTGAGCACATGGGTGTGCAGTGGGGTATTTTAATGTGCCAGACCACATGTTTTAACCTGTGTAGTTAGTTCTATTGCATAATGTTGAAAATATAATTTTTTATGAGTAAAAAAAAATTCATTAGACATGATTTTTTAAATATTGAGTGGAATAAATGTAAAAATAAAATAAATTAATATGAGGTATTTTTTTATATTCTGTTTATTTAACTGTTTTTTAAAGTTCTTAATAACTGGGAATTTACTTGAAAGATTTTTGTAATTAAACCTTTTGACTGAAAGTGTAATAGAGCACTAGTGACTTTAATATCTGATAATTTTGTTATAATAAACATTAGTATAAGAGTGTATGCTCTTAGAACATGGTTTATGAAATTGGACAGAATTGCATGTTCTAAAACCCTGTCCTTGGAATGTCTTTTATCACCATGTTAAATCATTTGACTGAAAGTGTAATAGAGCACTAGTGACTTTAATATCTGATAATTTTGTTATAATAAACATTAGTATAAGAGTGTATGCTCTTAGAACATGGTTTATGAAATTGGACAGAATTGCATGTTCTAAAACCCTGTCCTTAGAATGTCTTTTATCACCATGTTAAATCTTTTTGATTTAGCATACACAACAATGTTTGTTTGGTAGTGATTAAGTATGTTTTATTTTGATTAATTAATAAGTTTGTGTTAACAAATGTTCAGTCAGTTATAATGTTCAATTTTCTGTGTTGCTCCTGAAGTTAAAAGTTAACTTTGTTTTCCATGATTAGAATCAGTGGTCTCGAGGGTACATTACTTGGAGTTACTCCTCAAATTTATCCAGTAATAAAAAAATGTCTACGGTACAGTTGGGAAAGCATTGTCCCCATAACATTTGGTAAGTGTTCATAACATTTGGTAAGTGTTCATAACATTTGGTAAGTGTTCAGAACATTTGGTAAGTGTTCAGAACATATGGTAAGTGTTCAGAACATAAATTGGTTGCTTAAGGAGTATTATATAACCATTTTTTTTAGTTTTGGGTTTATGTGAGGGTTCTATATATTAAGTATAACTATATCTCAGATGTAAGTTTGATTGTAATAATTTTGAAGTATGCTATTATAATTATGAACCTAAAAAAAATTAAAACACCTTAAATGTTATGTATTTCAGATGCTAACTCTGCATAACAGTTATATCATCTAAGCATGAGCTTTGAGCTTTTATCTTGTGATAAAGAAATCGTGTAATAATTATGTTTTGGCTGAAATACTGGAATATAGTTGGTCCAGGCTTTGGCCATTTGTTTAATATATTATAATTAATTTTATTTTTATCTCTTCAGGCCACCTGTTGTTTGAAATGACTTCTGGGTATACACTTTCTACTGCTCATCCTTCAGAGAAAAACTACAGCGACATTTCCTGTTGTCCTCAAGTTATAAAGGTATGCAGCATTATTCAATATTTAAATCAGGTCTGAATAATTATGAAGGCTCTTATAAGCAGAAAACATTTTATTTTGGTAATTTGATATGCTAGAAACAACATATGAACATTTATATGGAAGATTGTTTTAATATTTCTCATCTTGCTAATAAGATAAATAATTTCTACATATCCAAATGAATTTGATAATTTTTTTATCCTCCCTATCACTTCTTTTACGTTCTCTTACATCATGGAATTTTTTTTGACATATAGTAACAAAGATTTTAATACATCATGGAATTGTTTTTGACATATAGTAACAAAGATTTTAATACATCATGGAATTGTTTTTGACATATAGTAACAAAGATTTTAATACATCATGGAATTGTTTTTTACATATAGTAACAAAGATTTTAATACATCATGGAATTGTTTTTGACATATAGTAACAAAGATTTTAATACATCATGGAATTGTTTTTGACATATAGTAACAAAGATTTTAATACATCATGGAATTGTTTTTTGACATATAGTAACAAAGATTTTAATACATCATGGAATTGTTTTTGACATATAGTAACAAAGATTTTAATACATATATTGAACCTTTATTTTCCTTTGTAATAAGATTATTTTGTAAATATTTTAGCTACAATGTATTTGTAGAAGCAGCTAAATATATTCTTAGTCATGGGTTTTGTCTGTAATTATGCCTGCACTGTGAAACATCACAGAATATAGGTTTACCCCTGTCTGTTTGTCTGTCCATTCCAATATTATGAACAGGATGTCTCAAGATTGAATGGATGGATTGTGAACAAATTTATACAGTAGGTACTAAATTCAAAGTTCTAGACCTTATAGTTTTAGAAGGTATGTAGTAAAATGCATAGATTTGAAGATGAAGTACAGTTTAAACTAAGTAAGTATCTTGTGTTACCTAATGTAAGACTATAAGTATCTTGTGTTACCTAATGTAAGACTATAAGTATCTTGTGATACCTAATGTAAGACTATAAGTATCTTGTGATACCTAATGTAAGACTAACATTTAGCATACATCCTCTATAAATTTTGACCTTATTTTTTTTGTCTACGTGCAGCATATCTTCAGTTTCTGTTTGTTTTCTGGTAACTTGTACTGATGCTGTTTTCAATACTTGTTTTGAATATTTTTGATATACAAGACCCTTCTTGTTTGTTTAGGTTTTCTTTGTGATTTATCAAACACCTTTTTTTTTCTTTAGGTCTTAAAGTTTATATTTGAGCAGGAACAGTACAGATATCCCAGTATACAAGAGGTAATACGTGCATTTTTGTCCATTTCACATTGTCCTGATTGTTTTCAAAGTTTAATATACATTTACTTTATAATTAAAAAATATCTGTTTCTATCAACAACAAAATAGTTCATACAGAACTTAATGAAGAAATTCACATTACGAAACTCTTCAGTGAACATATTTGTGACTTAACTCAGGATACAATAAATGAACTGATATTTTGTATTGTTTTATTTAAATAGCTTTGGTACTTTCATCTGATTCATCTTCAATGTTTAGGCTTACAGCATAAGTTCTTGTTCCTTCTATTGTTATATCAATAATCACAGTTGTATTATTCCATCAGTCCAGATAAGGTAGTGTTTACTACATTACATTCTTATGTGGTTATATCATTAATCACAGTTGTATTATTCCATCAGTCCAGATAAGGTAGTGTTCAGTACAATATGTTTTTATATCATTAATCACAGTTGTATTATTCCATCAGTCCAGATAAGGTAGTGTTCAGTACAATATGTTTTTATATCATTAATCACAGTTGTATTATTCCATCAGTCCAGATAAGGTAGTATTCAGTACAATATGTTTTTATATCATTAATCACAGTTGTATTATTCCATTAGTCCAGATA